TTATGGAATCCAAAAATTGCAGTCTCTGCATCATCCCTGTCATGACACTTATTTAGCTTGCAAGGGCATTGTCGAAATTTCTTACTGTTGTATATTTTTTGCTTTTGCAGCATCTCTCTCTTTCTATCTTTTAACATTTTAATTGACCTTCTGGGTTTGGTGGACTCCTCTGTCAACATCTGTACTTATGGAATTTCATAGGGCTTTTGTATTCCTGTTGCTGATTCTTAGTTTTTTTTGAGGTGGAGGTCCACCTCCTGCCCTCCACTCTTCCATCGATCATTCATTTACAGATTTTATGCTGTTATACCACTGATTATCTTCCTTCAGCAGACTTTGAGTATATAATCACCTAAACTTAAGAGATCTCATTTTTCATTTCAAGACTTTGGGTACATTTGTACCATCTTCTTAGCTACTTGGTCTTGGTTTTCTTGGCTATTCTTGTATACACTTGAATCTTGAATATGATGTTGTTGTGACTGGTCCTTGACAAAATTCAGGCAGGAAGTACATTCCTTCTGTCTTTAACCAGCCTTTAAATAAAACGTCGTCTGAACAGTGCACTCTGTTGTCATTGTTGATTCCCTGGTAGTCTGTTTAAAAGTTACCGCAAAGCCTTTTTAAAATAAAGTGCCAGCAGCCTGGTTCCTGAAGAGAGATCCTTGGAGATCAGGGCAGTCCTGGGGGTTTTGAGTGTGAGGATGTTGAGTGATGTGCCAAATTTTGGGAACTAGAGCCTATCTCTATAGGTCTTGGACTCCTTTTTGCCTATATAAAGGTTGGAAATGCTGGTAAGAGGGACTGCATTATGATCCCTTATGACTGATGGTCTTTGTAAGAAGAGTAGAACAGATTGTTGCTGAACCAACTTTAGTTTTACATTGCTTTATTTTCCCTCATGTGAAAGGTGTGGAGAAGGGAGAAAAGTTATTTTTCTCTTTCTAAGTTATCTTTTGAATGTTCTGGTTAATCGGTTACAGTGTTGTCTGTGGGCTGATGGTGATGCGGGTACTGATCTGCTGAGAACCAGGCTAAAAATCTCCTTGTGAAAGGTAAAATATGTGCAGTATAATATTCTTCATGTTGTTGAGAGCTTGTCTTCATTGGTAAAAATGGTATGACTAATCCAGGGTTTGTGAGTATCCTTCAGGAAGTCTTCAGTTTTGGTCAGGTCAGGGAGATTCATCTTCACAGAATTAATAGCATCAGTTGCTCTGAAATATAAAATATAGTTCCTATTGCTATGATTTTTTTTGTTCATTCTACTACCAAAGGTATAATGAACTCTTAATGGATAAAAGTGGTTCCTTTCTTTTGGAAGGAGAAGGGAGAGGACAAAACATCCATTTATAGTTAGAAAAATTGTTCAGGTCTTCTGAAAAGGCAACAAGTAGCGTCCAAAAATGCCAAGTCTGTGTCCCATTGGGTAAATTATGACTGTAGGACCTCCCAGTAAAGGATTTCTGAACAGTTTGCACAACAGACACTCAATACCTTCTCTGCTAGGTATATCAGATAGATCCTTTTTCAGGAAGGAACAGCTAGAGGGAGACCAGAAAGATTGCATCTCAGCTGTGGTCCTGGAGAAACTTATGTCAAAAGTCAGAATAAAGCATGATCTCCCCTCCTCTCCTGTTGTTGTTTAGCTGCTGTTCAGCAGCTCATGTGGCTAGCGTGTGATTGCAGAGAGAAGTAGGCCAAGAAGCATTTAGCACAGGAATCCAGCCTAGTTCTTTCAAGACTTAAACTGTGGTAAGACAAAGGATCAATTTCCAGAAAGGTGTTTATAGACCTTATTTGTTAAAGGGTGTAGGGAACATGTGAGACCTGATATGTAAGAGGCAATAGGACTCTTCCCTTGAATGGAAAGGAGCTATGTTGAGAGTCTCTTCCTCTAAGGTTGAACCTTTGGGAATACTACAGAGATAGGAGTGAAGCCCAGGGTGGCTCTGTCCTGGGCTGACCACGCACACCAGAGCCACAGGCCTGCACTTGGCCACAAGCAGAGCAAAATAAATGCACTGCAGAGACAAGCAGGCTTTTGCCCTCTGTGAGCTTCTGTGTTTAATGCAGTTACTCTCTCTGTGCAGCTGCAGGCTTGTGCAGAGGAGGGGAGGCATGCAATCTGAGGAGGATCAGAGCTTGAAGCCTCTAAGCCAGCTGATAGTTGTGCTCACTGATAGTGGGCAGTGCAGAGGAGGAGAGCTGGCCTGACTCGCTGCGATGAGAGGCTGAGGATAGACCATGTCTGAACAAAGTTGAGCTCTGGCAAGTTTGGTCCTGTGTCAGGGGCTATCTATGCTGTGTGGGTGTTAGGAAGGTTTATCCTTCCTAATGGTTTAAGTTTCCTCCTGAGCTCTTTCAGTCCAAGCTTGACTTGATGGCACAACTTGTGTCTGTCTTCAGTCCATGTAACCAAGGCTCAAGTGTTCTCATTCCTGACAGTACCCTGAACTGATGGGGCACATCTGTAATCTCTTGGTGGCTATTCCCCCTGGCTCCCTGCAGTGTCCCAGCACCAAGAATGAATTTAGCACAGGTATCTGTTGCTGATCCTTACCCAGGCTATTCCAGATCCCAGTGGAGGGCATACTGTTTGATACAGGAGAAGTTTGGCCAGACATGGTTGAAAATTACTTGTTTGTAAGCTAAATAAGGTGTCTGAGGGTAGCAGATATCTCTGTTTGAAACATAAGTGTTCTTCCTGTCTCAAAAATCCACCAGCTGGATGAAGGAGTAGGAATGTTGTGGAGAGTTTTCTCGGGCTGGATGGCACAAACTGACTTTTATCTCAGCTGTCAGATATGGCAACTGAAATGTATTTGGTCTGAGATTTTTATCCTGGCCAGTGAGTGGGCCTTCCAAAATGAGGCATTTGAGAAACATGGAGATATGATAGAGAAAGCATGCAGAAAACATGAGGAGGTTTTGCTAGAAGGCAACCTGGGCAACATGTCTGAGTTCATGCCTGGATTACAGGGCTCTTGGGACATCTGATCTGTGTAGCTTATGTGCTTTGTTGTGATTTATGGGCAGCATAGTACTCGCCTTTCTTAGTCCTTGCTTTCTATACCTGTAGAGTCATAGACCTTTTCCAGTGACTGTGAATACACTGAGCACTGCAGAATCCTTCTTTAGGGAAGCAGTTGGCTAGTGGGGCTGTCTTGTTGCTGTTCAGTTGGCTGTGAGGCATAAACAGTATCCTCTCCAGTCTGGAACAATGAGTCATGGTTGTGCTAATTGATTCCCATCAATCTAATATTTCCCATAAGGAAACACTAAATGCAGTGGACTTTTGACTATATCCTCATTTACTCATAGTGTGATGAGTTCAGTGGCTTTATAGAGGTTATATTGGTGTAGCATGAATAACCACTGTTTTTTTAAGCTGCTATTCAGTCTTGGTTCAGTTAGCACTATGCTGCTACTGTTAGTGCTTTCCTGCCTCCAGGCAAATTGCATAGCCTGCAAAAGAGATTGGAAACCTCTGTTTCAAGCAAGAATGAGAATGGCTGCATGGCCACCTGGTATCTCTCTTTTTTGGATACCTTCTCAGTCCTTCCAATTACTGAATGCTCTTGTGTGTGCCTGGTCACTGTCCACAACAGCAAATATAGGCCTAAATCAGGCCTGTGTTGCTAAGTGAGGGTGTTGCTAAACAACAAAAAAATGTTTTTTTCCCAAATGTGGGTGAGTGTGCAGAGCCTTGAGAGCAAGTGGGAGTTGAGCTTTAGCATGCCTCTTTTTCAGGTGACCAAGATACCTGCAAATGCTTGGGAAGAGTCCGCGGGGGGGGGGAGGGGGGGGGGGGCGGGGAGGGGGGGATAGGTAAATACACAGTCCTTGGAAACCAAATGGTGATTGAAATACAGGCACAAACAGTGTAACTCAAGGAGTGGGGGAAAAATGGCTTTTGTAGGCTCCTCTGCAGTTTGGAGTACTCATGAATATGCTGAGTGCACTTTGGCTCCCACTTTATGGAAAGAAGAGTGTGCTCCTAAGCACTGAAGCAGTGATTTCTTCTCTCTTCCATTTGAGGGTGGCACTGAAGGTCTGTGCTACTGTCAGTCGCTCTCATTGCAAAATGTGTGGCAAAGCCTGTCGTGCTGCATTGCTTTGTTGCTGAACTGAAGAAATAGCTGTGGAGTTAAAAGGCCTAATGTCTTCACCAGGCTGCGTGCTGCCACTGCAGGAGCTTCTCAGCTGAACATATGAGGGGCTTTTGGCACAGTAGGGACTGTAGCTGTAGGGGTTTCTTCTTGTAGCCCTTCAGAGCATTTTACCAGGGTCAGTTACCAAGCCCCATCACAAAAGCAACCTCAGTGTGTAGGATACGTGCTGTCAGCACTTCTTTTGATTTCAACCTTGATGTTTTTCTGGGTTCTCCTGGTGGTCATAGGGTGAGTCTTGTCTTGGGAGGGTGCTCATTTGTAACAGTGTCATAAAGTGACGGAGCTAGATTAATATCTCACTTATTATGAGTGGGCTGTTTCTCTCTTGGCCCTTTCTCCTTGTGCTTGTCTGATTGGAAAATGAATTGTTTCAACTCATTAACCTAGTAAAAATTGTAGTGGTTTTTGATGGTCTTGTTTTCTGCCATTTTTAATGAGTAAAATTGGATTACTGGGTAATGTGGCCAGCGTCAGAGCAGGTGGGATGTGTGGGATGTGTGTGTGGACAGGAACATACATGCATGGGGGAGGTTGGGGAAGCAAGACCTCCATTTCAATGGAGGCAAGTATTCGTTCTGCTCAATTCTATTGTAAAACCTTGCCTTGAATATCCTGACAGTTTTAAGTGCAGTGGGGGAACCTCTCTTATGGCCTAATTGCAAAGGGTAGCTGGCTTTATCTCTTAATTTTTGGGTGGTAAGGAAGGTTTTCATCTTGGTTGTGAAATCGGATTAGGCTCAGTTGAGCCTTTACTGAGCTCTAGGGTGGTGGCAGTGTTGTGGTTTCATGTCATGCCTCTGTTTATCCCCTCTCTCTCTTGCTCAGCTTGGTATCGCTGTGGGCTTTCTAGTCCCTCCAGTTCTGATTCCTAATGTGGAGGATGTGGAGAAGCTGGCCTACCACATCAGCATCATGTTCTTCATGACTGCAGGTGTGGCATCAGCCCTATTCATCCTGGTCATCCTAGGTAAGGAGGTGGGAGCATGCACAGGAAACCAGGTGGGACTGAGAAGATCAGCCTGGGGATGGGGGGGGGGGGCGGGCTGTGTGCCAGGAAATGGGGGGGGAAGTTCATCTGGTGATGCAGCATGCAGCTAATAGGGTCATGCAATACCCCATCTTGCTGCTTCAAGTCCTTGATGAACTGCACATGTGAAGGGGAGTATAAGAGGTCGTGAATGAGCCTGCCAAATTGTTCATTTCATCCTTTGCCTGCTTAATAAAACCCTGGCATGAGTAAATCCTTTAAAAGCCAACAGAAGTCTTCCAAGTTTCACAGTCATCTTCCCTGCAAACAGAGTGCTGGGCCTTGGGTTGTGCCTTGGACCTGATGACCTCCTCAGGGTAGAGAAAAAGAGGCAGGTTATATGGCATCACAGGAACAAGCTGTTCCTAAGAGAAAAAAAGGTAACTAGTTATGAGTGGATAGAAGGAAGCACTGAGGGCAGTAGCAGGAGACCAGAGGTGCAATTCTCCTACTTCATGCTTAATCCATGAAGTAGAAGCCAAATCTTTAGCATGAAAGACTGACATGCTCATTGGAGAGCAGATGTTGTCTACTGAACTCCATGGAATTTTTTGGATAGGCTCCTCTTGCCAGTTTGTTCATGTTGCCGGTGGCTGAATCAGATGTAGACTTCAAAGAATCTGGGGCAGGGAATAGACAAGGTACAAGAATGGCTGTCTAGCACCTGGCACAGCAGAATTGCCTGCGACTGGCAATTCTGGACACTAATGCTAGTAAGGGACAGCAGATGACTTGGCCAGCCTAAAAAGTTCCAGGCCTGAAATAAAACCTGGCATACATAGGTCATTGCTCACCAGGCACTGGACTCTTCAGAGGCCATCTTTGCTGTCTGACTTTTCCTAATCTGCTTTGGCATTTGTAAATCCACATAATATTTTAGCAGCTGGCTGATCATCCTTCTGAAGACAAAGGAATGAAATGCAAGGTGTTTTCCTAGTGGGAGGAGTTAGTGTTGGAGAGAGCCTGTTCTCTCCTGTTCCTGGATGAGTTCATGCATGGAGATCAAAGCTTAAGGACACTGGTGTGTTTTGTATGCTTGGTTTTACTAGTCTCTCTGCCATCCCTCAAATGGCTCTACCCACAGTGTGTGCTCAGGGCCCCTGATGACACCATTACAAACAGGTATACTTTGTGTCTGATTTCAGTCTTCAAGGAGAAGCCCCAGAACCCTCCAAGCCGAGCTCAGGCCTTGATCCAGTCAAGACCAACAGCAGAATATTCCTACGTGCAATCAATCCTCCGTCTGCTCCACAATGCCAACTTTTTGCTCCTTATGGTCACTTACGGTAAGGTCTGACCTTTCTCCTTGTGCAATTATCACTCCTCCCTCCCTCTCTGTGCTCTGCTGGAGCAGTAACTGGCCAGAGTTGTTTTAGGGGAGCATGAAGATAGCTGTCCTGCCACAAACTAGGAATCCTTATAGCCCAGTACTCTTAGCAGTAGTTACAAGCAAATGCCTAGGGAAGAATACAAGCAAGGCAAGTACACAGTGGACAATATACTCCCACTACTGTTCTCCCAAACTTTGGCTGTTTTTTGCTCAGGGGATTTCTTTATCCTGTTCTTTCTTCCTTATCCTGTTCTTTTTTCCTTAACCTGTTGTGCTGGTTTAAGAGTTAACCAGCAGGGGGAATGAACTCAACTCAAAGGAGAGATTATAAGTCAGAATAACAATTTATTAAAATAATACAATAAGTACAATAATACAAACAAACAGTTGGTCTCAACCCACAAAAACTCAAATGTATAACCCAGTACCCTGGGGCCTGAACAAAGTGGTATTCCTTGGGCCCCGCTTGAGTCCAAAGTAAAGGGAGAGGGGAAGAACCTGCTGGTGGGAGAGCTGCTGCAGTCTGGCCAAAGTGGTGATCGCAGTCCAGTGGTGGTCTAAGTCTGGTTGGGAGCGATGAGATGCAGCCGTCCTCTGGATCCCACGAGTGGGTTGAAAAATGTTCCAAGACTCCAAGATTATATATCCTCCAGTTCAGGCAGGAATGCTTGGTGCTCCCCTCAGGGCGGGGAGTTCCCACAAAGGGTGTGAGGACAGAAACATCCTCCTATCTCACAGGCCTCTTAACACCTAGTTTATAGCCTGAGGAGTCAGGCTCTATGGGCAGAGGGTGCGAATAGTCTATTGACAACAATAGTCTAGTTTCTGGGAAATGACATGGAAGGCTATAGAATACAGTTTTGGGTTACACCCACCATGATGAACTGATCTCAGCTGTCCTAACTAGGACACCTGTTCTTTTTTCCTAGTCACTTAGTTACTTGCAATGAGCCAATCTAAGTGCTTACCTAAGAAATATATTGGAGTGTCTAAGTGCACGTCACAGCACTCAGTAAAGGTCATTTCCCAAGGCAAGGGTATGACTGCTGGGCATCCCAGTAGAGGTCATGTGGACTATGCAGATGTGCAGACTTCGTCAGCTTCCTAGGCAGTCCCTATGAAACAAATAGAAGGAAAGGCTGGAGAACATCTTCTTATGCCATCTGTCCTGGCACTCTGAATTTGCTGCTTGCTTCTCTTTAGCAGTCTCAGTCTGTTTCTCTGAGGGCAATGTACTGTGTTGAATCTATTCCCTGATGCTGAATTGGCATATGGAACAGTGTTTTTCTCTTTAACAGAAAGGCCATTGTAGTCTCTGCCTGGCTGCATAATAAGTTATACTGTAGCCAGCTAGTCTGCAGGGAGCTGTGTCCTTACTCTTCCTACCGTCTTGCTATGGAAGCTCCTCAGGTAGAAAGTTAAATATTGCTGAAAGTTCTACCATTATGCCAGCAATTGTATCTGAAGGACCTGGCCGATGAGTAACCAGGTTGGAGAGAATGAGATAGTGGCTTTGTACCTTCTGAGGGTGCTAATGGTCTTTGGGGTTGTTGAATTCTATGCTTCTTTCCTTCTCAGTGCAATAGACTTCTAGAAATGCCCCTCTCAGATTGCTCTTAAACTCCACTGGTTTGCATTGCAGCTGCTTGTTTTGGCTTTTTTTTTCCCCCTCCATAGCACACAATACCCTCTCAGAAAGTGAAGACAGAAAAAATTGTCAGGCAGACTGTGTCTAAAGTTGGATTGTGTCATCTGCACAGTACACAGTTATGCTTCAGGGAAAGGGAAGGTGAAAGCATTTATTTTGATAGGCAACAAGTCCTAGAGGAGAGAACATTTATTTTGATAGGCAACAAGTCCTAGAGGAGAGAGGAGGGGTCTCAGTACAGAAGAGCATGTTTAGAATCTGATCATCCTGGATAATTCCCTTCCGGCAGTCACAAACAATGTGGAAAAGCTGTTTCAGTGGCTCATAATTTATTTTTTCTTCCTGCTGGTCTGTGCATTTATTCTGTTCCTCTTTGTGTCAGCGTCATGTCAATCTACAGCTTGACTTGAGATGGTGACTGTTGCTCAGAGAGGGAATTATGCAGTGAAACTTTTTTTTAACTTCTCTGGCTTTAAAATGGGGACAGTTTTTCCTACTTAAGTCAAAAGTTATGTTGGCCAAGATTTAAGACATCTGCAGCCACATGAGTGCAACTGAATCATTCTGCCTAGCTAACACAAAGATACCTGCAGCCTCTCAGCTTTTGTGTTAACATAGCGTATACCAGAGGAGGGAGGGGGATACCTGCTGCTTTTTCATCTCCCCTGGCTGTAGAAAGAATGGGGACCCTTCCATGATGCCAGGTCAGAACAGGTCTGCAGACCTCTAAGGTGTTGATATTACTAGCAGCTGTCAATTCCTTTCCTGTGGTAAGACTTGCAGTGCTGGAAACATTGGTGCCACTGCCTCTGTGTCAGTACTAGTGAACTGTTTTTGAGGAAAGCCCTCAAATAGCCTTTTCCTAAGGCTGCTGACATTGCTTCCATGAAGCTGAGGCATAACATGGAATGGACATTTAGAAGTGTCCGAGTTTACTGAGTTGGGCTCTGCATCTGAGAGCATGTTGCTACTGGGAGGCAGTAGGCAGGAAAGGGTGGGAAAGGCTGGTAAAGTGGGAGTGGTGAGACAGTCTCAAAGCATCAAGGTTTGGAAGGGTGATGGGGCAGTGAGGAGGAGGCAGGGCAGCAAGATCTGCATAAGGAACCATTGTCCTGCAGGCTTACATGGGTGAAGACAAGAAAACCAGGAGTCTGGATGTAAGCAATAGGCTGCTTACCTACGGAAGACCTGGGTTCTAGTCTGAGGCTTAATAAGGGCTCCTTTTGGAGCCATAGGCAATAAAGTTCCCCATTCTGGCCTCTATAAAATAGAGGAGACACTGTGAGGTCTCAAAAATGCTATTCTACAGCACGTTACAAGCAAACCATGGTAACTAGCTAATGAATCAGGTGGGGCTGGACCTTCAGATGTCCTGCTCCCAGCTACTAGTTCTGATTTTCCTCATCTGCATGGGCAAATGGCCACTGCCCTGTTGGAAACAACCGTTGCCTGTTTCATGGGCATTCAAACAGCTGTAATTCTCGGTGAAACTTCACGGAGCAGCTGTGACATATAAAGTGCCTACAGCTTTTGCCAACCCTCGCATATGCAAATTTGGCACACTGTCTTGATTCTTAGAATATTTTGCCTGACTGTGGTGCCAAGTGTTGCTGCCAACTCTGCATTACTTTCTGCCCAGCTTGGAAGCAGGGGCCCTTCTCAGTCTTGGAAATCATATGCATCACAGAGCTGCTGTGAAGCTTTTGTACTGACAGCATCAACTACCAGAGCAGCATCTGTCTATTTTCGCAAGGCTGCTGTCCTCTTGGCTGGGTGAGAAGTAGAGGTGCACAAATGACTGGTCTATGTTCATGCCCAGCTTTGAAGTGAAGTAGCGAAGGGACTGTGCTGATCTGCCATACTCCCACGTCCTGGCAGTGCAGTTTGTGATGTCTCCTAATGAGTGGGGTGATCCAGAGGTGGAGATAAGATGAAGCTGAATTACAGTCTCTAGAACTGTTTTGCTACGGCAAAGTGTTGCAAAGAGACAGCTTTCAAGGCTAGAGGGCGCCTCCTTGCTGTGAGATATCCAACTGTTCTCCCCCATCTCTGGCTGCTGGCTCTGCTGGAGTTTCCAGCCTTCTCAAGTAACTCTTGGAAAGCATTGGCTAGATTCCTCCTGCCTTAAGAGCATGTCACTCAACTTACTAGCCTCTCCCGTAACCTTCTGACACATGGTTTTGGAGCAGGAAGCATTGTCACAGGCACTTGGCTTATTTAGGATCACTTGAATGAGAGTTTTCATCTGTTGTGTGTGCCATAAAACTGGGGAGTGACCTTTGCTTAATCATAGGATGGTTTGGGTTGGAAGGGACCTTAACGATCATCTAGTTCTAACCCCCATGCCGTGAGCAGGGACACCTTCCACTAGACTGGATTGCTCAGAGCCCCGTCTAGTGTGGCCTTGAACACTTCCAGGGATGGGGCATCCACAGCTTCTTTGGGCAATCTGTTCCAGTCCCTCACCACCCTCACAATAAATTATAATGGTGTGTAAAGGAAGTGTGATGTCCCCTTCAGCTGCCAATCCCAGCTGCCAATCTTGTGGCTCCTCATAGTGCTCCATGAGCTGTGCAGTGCAACGGGTATTCAGTGTTTAGTGGAAGACTGGGCTAGGCGCAGAATGGCTGAGTAATTAAGGATCAGGGGAGCTAGAGGACTTCAGAGTTAGGGGAGCTCAGGGGTTTGTTCCCTGTGTTAATGCTCTGCCTGCGAGACTGCACTTCTGTATCATGTATTGTGAGTTTCTGCTTTTAGCTGAGGCTGAAAGAGGAAAAGTAGGAAGTGGGAACTTGACACATATCTGTTCTGTGAGGATTTCAGGCATCTATGCCAGACTTTTTAAAACCATGCCTCCTTATGGAGCCTGTAGATGTGTGAGCTGCAGTGGTGAAATCTGTGTCCCCCATCCCACCCCCCTACTTCAGGATCACTGAAGCCTTGAAGAGAAACTAACTGCAAATGTAAATGACTTTCTGAGAAGAAAGTTGTGCTGACTGTTACAGACCTCATCCACCTGGTGAAGGTTTCTCAGTATCACCCAAGGTGAGAGTGTAGCCATTGCAGTACTGCTGATTCAGTGCACGTACGTATGTTCTTGCCTACTCTTAGCAAAGCGCTTGGATTTTGTGCCCTTTTGAGAAGGCATTTAACCAAAGAGAGTTGCATGTAAGCTGAAGCAGTGTGTCTGAAAGGGGCTTGACCAGTATCACCCCAACAGTTTCATTCTCACCTTGGGTGATACTGAGAAACCTTCACCAGCTGGCCGATGCGTGTAACAGTTAATCTAACTTCCCTTTCAGAAATACAATTACTTTCATGGTTGGTTTTTTTTCAGGCCTCAGTGATATCTTTTAAAATGCAAGATTTTCCCATGCAGACACACACATAGCAGGTGCTTGGGGGTAGTGCTGTCTGTGCTTCACTATCGGCTCTGCTTCTGCTTGCCTTCTGCTGTTTCTTTGCTTGGAGAGAATATTTTTTTACTGGCTGTCAGCAGGGAGAATGCTATCAGGCTCTTCTCTGGAAGGAAAACACTCAGGTCAATGACACTGTTGTTAATTGAATCCTGGGTCCTTGTTAAAGGTGTGATGCTGAGGCAGGTGCTTTTCTAGTATTCTGACTTGGCTGGGGGGGAAGGAGAAAACTCCAGTGCTAAAGATGGATCTGGATGTGAGGAAGGGTTGAGACCCCATGAGGGACTTGCAAGACCTTTCAGTACCAGAAATGTGCACAGCCCTTCCTCTAGCTGCTAAGGTAAGAACCATCCTGAAACTGCACGGTGCTTCCTCCTGCATGCTGAGGCCTGACTGTCTGCATTTCTTTCAGTATTCTATGTCTAGCCACTCTGGCTGAGTCTCCTGAGACTCTGCAGCCTTGTACTAGATTGATGCTCCCAAAGATTCCTCTCTCTGCTTTTCTACCCTTCCACAACCTAGCAGGAGAGTAGCAGGCTCTGAATGTGCTGCATTTTTATCCCCCTCTTAGGTCTGAATGTAGGTTGTTTCTACGCCCTGTCCACTCTGCTGAACCGCATGGTGATCCACCACTACCCAGTAAGTGTATCCAACCCTCGTGGCCCTCTGATGTTTGCTGTTGTCTAGCATTGGCTGCCAAAGGAGAGTCTGTGAGAAATGCAATGTCACAGCACTTCTGGCTGGCTCTGGCACACGTTGGCTGGCTGGAAAGAGAGCATTGGTTCCTTTTTCTCTTTACACCACACCATGCAAAAGCTAGTGAGCTCTAGCAAAGACAGCTCCTTTGCACCCTGAATGAAAGTGTTTACTTCTGAGAAAATCTTCCAGCAACTGACTCCCCCTGTTCCTGACTATGACTTCTGCTAGGACATCTGTTCCAGGAGGCTGCCCACACTGGTGCTCTGGTGGCAGAAGAGTGGAGTGCTTCAGTACCTGAGCTACTGTAGAGCTTACTGCTGGTGCTGTATGCCAGAGAGCTCCTTTCTGTGCTGCCTTATAGTAGGTCCTAATATTTCCTAGTCAATCTGGCCCAAATCCTAACACCAGAGAGCAAGCTTCATAGGGTTTATGCTGACTCCTCTAAAAGTATCTGTTCATGCTGGCCAGTGCACACCTTTTTCTCTGGGCTGGCTCAGAGAGAAGTGCCAAACCACTTTTCTTACTGGACTAGAATACACTGGCTCATAGTGGGCCCAAAAGTGTTCTTGCAAAGGGTACTTCTGGTTATTGTGTTACCAGCAGAAAACATGTAGGGAGGCTAACTTTGATGTCTCTTCTTCTCTGGGTTTTCTGCATTTTGCTTTTTGTTGGCTATGACTTAGCTCCTGCATTTGTGTGAGTGTGTGTGTGTCTCATCACAGGGGGAGGAGGTGAATGCTGGCAGGATTGGACTCACCATTATAGTGTCGGGGACAGTTGGGGCTCTGATCTCCGGCATCTGGTTGGACAGAACCAAAACCTACAAGTAAGTCCCTTGTTTGCCTCTGTGTCCCTGGTGACTGTGCTCTTCCCCCATACTGTGTGAGTCTGGGGGTACAATCTTTGGGAGGATTTGTAGGGAAAAATATGGTTCTTCAAAATCCAGTTAGTCTAAAGTGAAGTTTGGAGCTGTGTGTTAGTCTGTACTGGGCCCATACAGTGACCTTAGGGAAACATAGGGTGAGGTGGCCCAGTAGCTGCTTTGTTAGGAATGAGAGAGTTCTTGATGCAAGTAGAATCGAGACAGTACCAGACCATTTCTCAGCCCTTACAAATCAGCTTCTGTGAATCTTTGTCCAGCTTAATAAAAGGCACATTGAATCCAGTGCCCAGAGGCATTGTGTGAGGGTGTGTTGCTGTATTTAGGGCAGGCATAAGGGTTATTGGGGTTGCTGGTGGATTATTCTGAGTTTGCTGCCTGGCGGGTTGGGAAGGCAGGTCTGGCCAGCATACCCTGCCATATGCAAGGAGACGGTTAAGTCTTTGCTTGTCCTGCAGCTCCCAGTCCTCAGGCACTCAGATCTCATTGGCAGACCTCTGTAGGATATCCCAGGGGATGTAGAGAGTCTCTCATGTCTTACACTGCGGTCCATGTAATCAGCTTTTTGGTTTCTCTGCTGTCTTTGAGAACTGTGCTATAACCTGTTGTCTGAGCAGGTTGGTGAGACGGGGCTTTACTGGTGATGTGCTGGTGAAGGCAGTTGAAGGCAGTTTTGGAGTTCTTTTCTTTGCAGCAGCTTTTCATCTGGGTGAGTCCTACTGCCATTATCCTACCTGGTGTCTTGGTTCAGAAAAGCACATTCTCATTGTAGACAGCTTAGATTAATCTGGCTAGCTGTGGATTTGCAACTTCTGAAGTGGCTTCTGGCCCTAGCTGTAAACTACAGGGATCAAAAATAGATAGAAAATTGGCTTCTCTAATAAGAAAGAATGGTTGGTGAGAACTCCTGGGTCATAGGAAAGAGGACTAGATGACTAATACAAAGACCGGCAGGTTGATTGTTGCTGTTTCTAGATGGTTGTGTGGCACTGAGTTCTCATTTGTCAGTCCTGAGACATAGAAACACAACTGTTGGAACCATTAGAACTGCACTAGCTAACCATTCAGCGTAACTTGTGTCTCTTTCCAGCCCAGGGCTAGTGGTAAGGTAGCCTCAACTGGGACTGGATGATCTTCCTGATTCTCTGTAAGTGAAGGTAGGTTGCATCAAGAAGCCTGAAGAGCTTTGTCGCTCACCAGGCAGAGCTGGGACTTGAAATTTGGCAGAATGGGTGAGGGGAAAAATCCACAAATCCTGTATTTGTTCCATGTCCCCTGCTTCCATGGAGGGACCACGTAAGTAGGCTGAGCTGGCTGACAGTGTAGAAAAACAGGACTATACCACCCATGGAATTTATCCTACAGACCCCAGGGACTATCTGGGGATAGATTTAGCCTTAGGTGAGGAAAAACACTACTAAGAATTTGTTCTCCACTGCAGCCCACAAAATGGAATTCTGTGAAACTAGCAAATTTTTTTTCAGAGTGCTACAGAGTCTTTATTTAGCCCCATTTAAAAGTCTATTTAAAAAAACTGTCAAGATGCCAGATGTTCTAGGCAGGTACCCTCCCCCTTCCCTCCGTTGCTGAGATAGTGTCAAGAATGAAGTGGTAAGCACATGAAAATCAGGAAGAAGAGATATCAAGTCCTTTTTTTAGTCAGCTTGGAGAGAGAGGGAAGCAAATGAATGGGATCCAGCTGTGATTGAGGGGAGCAGGGGAAGGTTAATAACAAAAGGAATTGCAGAGCTCTACATGTGTGTTTGATCTTTACTGTACCATCAGCAGTTCCTTGAAAGGGTGAAGCTGTGCTAAGTCAGGCTTTCCCCATCTGTCATGCTTGAGCACCAAATGGCCTTTCATTCTTGCTCTTATTTGGCAGGCAAATCCCTGCAGCAGCTCCTGCACCATTCTTGCTTTTGGAATTAGCAGGCACAAATTTGGTCAATAAAAATAAATACATTAGTTACGTAGTGATGAGTGAGAAGTGCCAGAACTAGGGTTGTTTCTGGTGGTATGGCTTGTTAAGAGCAGCCCACCTCTTCAAAAGAACACGTTTTAGAATCATTGAATAATTTAGGAAAAGATTTTTAAAGTTTTGACATAAAGTTAAATGAGGCTCCATGTGCATCCTTCAGGTTCCAGGCTCAGAGGAGGGATGGCGTTGTGACACCTGGGGACTGCTGGGTGTATTGCTATTTGTAGGGGAGTCTGACTTGAAATGAAGTATTTGGAGACTGAATTAATCATCACTTCTCTTTGGCCATGCTTTGGTTTTAAGTGCGGTGTTCCCATGGCCTCACATCCAGCTGGTTGCAGTCAGCACTCTCTGCTTTCATTGCTGCATCTCTATAAGGCAAGACATCAGAAATATCCATCTCTCTCCATTGACGAGGCAGAGGACCCCAAGTGGTGTTTTAAACTTAGATCTGTACAGGTCCAAAGTGCATTAAAATGTGGGGGAGGGAGGAAAGACTTAGCTAATGGAGAATGGGGCGCTTGGATCTCTTCCACTGAAAGGTGAATGATCTCTCTCAGCCCAGCCTGACCAGCAATTTGAGCCTTCTTGTTGTAGCCCTTTCCCAGGTTAGTCCTTATGTAGTGCTTATGTCTTCACCCTGTCCTGCCATATGTTTTATATAAACAATTTACCAAGGCTGTCTATTTTTGTGACCTTTATACAGGAAGAAAGTGGCATAAAACCAAGTGCTAAAGAATGAGGGGGTGGTGAAAATGAAACCAGCCTTCTCCAATTCGTCTCTTCTCCAGCATTTGACACCTCAGTGTCTTCAGCAATTAGATTCTTCTGGAAGCACAGGGACAAGGCCTTTGTTCAGGGTCTTGCGCAGCCTGGAATGTGCTGTCCTCATGGCAAAGCCTGTGGAGGCCATCTGTCATCCCAGTCTGTACAGCAGAGCATTCTGGAGCTGCACACAACATCCCAGTGAGCAGCTAAAACTGTTGCACGTGGCTGTGACCTCTACCCCCTCCCTCCCTGAGCTTGTTCATTTGTTGCTTCAGATGTTGCTTGACTTGTGTTTTCGCAGCTGCAGTCAGTCCCCTGTGAGTCTGGCCCTGTCACTTTGGCTTTCCTCATCCAAGTGACCCTCTGAGACAAGGCTGGGCTGGGCCATGCCCATTGCATATTCTGAGGCTTCCTCTGGAGTTGACTGAACAGCAGGAGTTGTGTTCTTCATTTCAGTCCTGTTCCCTGCTCACGCTGACCCTGTCTGGCTTTTTTCCCCCAAGGTCTCTCTTTTCTCACAATCCCTTGCGTGAGCTCTTTAATTTGCCTCTTCAGAAGGGTAGGGAATGTGACTGGGAGGGCAGATGAGTGTCAGGGCAGGTTAGGTTCATCTAAGTGACAAGCATGTTGGCTCCTTCACAGATCTCCCTCTGACTGCCACAGAGACTTGGCACCAGTGCCTTTGGAGCAATGCTTCCGCATGGGTGCGCGGGGCTTCATTCCCAAACCCCAGAGCACAGAGCTGGATTAACCCCAGCTTTCCTAAGGTGATGTAGCAGGATGCCTAACTTCCTAACTTGTACACACTGCACTAGGCAGCCTGGTAAGTAGGCTGCCAGTTTTCCAGACAAGAATAATGGTTCCCTATGAAGCCATCATGAGAACAGGTTGCTAAAAACACCAGAATGCAGTGCCAATGTCCTCTGTGAATCTGCTTCTCCTTTGTGCTTTTCTCTCTCCCATAAGATTTATGGCTATGATAAGAGGCTTATTAAGCTAAACTGGCATTCTTTCCATGTCCTAGTGCCCCCAGAGTCACAGAGCATTCTTGTCTTCTAGTGACAAAGGCCACTTCCTGAGAAACACCCTGCCTAGCTGTCTTTCCCGGTGGTTTCTTTGTTTCCCTCTTCACCAGTGTCTGCCAGTATTGCAGTTAAACCCTCTTAAAATTTTTGGGTCTCGCTTGGACTGTTGAGTAGTAAATCTCCTTTTTTGTCATCAGTGGTATGCTCAAGGGAGCAAGGTCTTGCTAAAGTCTGGTCCAGCAGAAGTCTGCTTGTGTGCTTAAGGCTGTTTTCTGCAGCGGGACTTGCATCCAGGGCTGTCTGTTCAGCTCCTGTGGACGGCTGTCCTGAGCAGGCAGCGCTCAGGCGAGTGGCCTCAGGGCACTTCCCGGTCTGTGATTCCCACACAGCACTCAAGCCTGTGGTCTTGTTTTTTCACAAGGGTCTGTTGATACATTTTATCCTTCTGCAGCCTAATGATTCAGGGAGGTCAGTGAGGAAAACTCTAGTCCCCTAGATCCAGCTAATGTGCGCTAGATGAGGTACCCATGGCAAGATCAGTTTGCTGTGTTGTGCCCCCAGTTTACTTCTGCAGTTTCAGTGAACACCTTCAAGAGCTGTCTGCTTCTGTGAGCCTGCCTGCTCTAGTTCTCAGTGGTGCACTGCATGTTCTGGGAACTTCTTTCTTGCACCTTGACTAATGACATAGCATTAATGTGAAACAAAGTCCCAACCACATCCGGTCATTATCTTGTTCATCACCTTTGCTTGGAGATGAGCGGCAAAGTGCAACTCTTGGCAACTGTCATGATACAGAATCAGATACAAATCACATGGAATACTTGAATCATAAGCTTGGGAAACTGAGTGAGATGTTGTGTGACTATACTAAGACCTGTGCACTGAGCCAAAAACAGGCTGTGGGGAGAAAAAAACAAAACAAAACAAAACCCCAGCTGAGTGTTGCTGCTGGCAGCAACTAAACTTCTTAGGGCCACAGCCACCTCTTGGAGGCCTGCACTGTATTTTAGCACTGCTGTGTATTTTACTACTGCTGTGTAGTTTGGAGACTCCTGTTTATGGAAGGAGCACCCAGTTCAAGCTTGGTCTGTGTAGCCCAAGCACAGAGCTCTAATTCTAGCTTTGAGGTCTTTTCCTAATCATCTCTTTTCTCCATGGCTGCTTGTTAAGGCTTGGGAGACATAAGAACTCACAGGAGATATCTGAGGAACCTGTATTGAGCAGAAAAAGGCTTTTACTTATATCTTTTGGACTTTCTGGGGCTGCTCTCTGATTGCTCAGTCAATCTTTTAGCTCTTCTTCTACAGCCTCCAGGCTGTGTGCCAGCCATGTAGCAGCTCTCTGCAGGGAATTAGAACAGAAGTAAGCCATCCCTTTATTCTGCCTTCACAGATGACTTTTTTCCTCTGAAAACATTGGAAAGAACGTATTCTGGAGGTTAAGGGATTTAACTACTCCTTTGATACACAACAACATTACTTGTCACAGCAAAATGTTTAGCCTTTCAATACATTAAATGTGTCTGGTGAACCTTTGTAAGTATGGATCAATAGCTGAAGCCTGAAATTAGCTTCTAAGGCCTGTATTTGGATAAGAATTGACATATGAGTATGACCCCACTTACTGCAGTCATTGCAGCAGTGAGGGAGGACAGAACCTTAGCTAGAACAGTCTGGATTTATCTGTAGTAATTCAGTGTACTGGAAACATTTTATTACCCATTATAATACTGGCTGCCCACTTGGGGTTGGATTTTTGGCAGTGATCATTTGCATTAAAAAGGAAAAGTGAAAATAGTTTGAATTTTAGTTTCTTCAGTAGAATTCTAGGAACTGGTATCAAACACATTCTTTGATGGATTAAGACTAAAATTTGGTTGAAAGTAAACAAGCAGCTCATGGTTATACCTTTAACTTCTTCCTAAAAGACAATGGTAAAAAGGTTTTATTAACTGTGATATCTGTTCGACTATCAAAATCCTGGTGGAATTTGAATCAGGTAAAGGATACTCCTTTCCCTCCTAAAAACTATGTACTATGAAAAGTTACTAGCTGCCTCTTGTATTAAAAAGAGCCTTAGTCTTTTTGATGTGGGAAGGCTTTTCTTGGTGTTTAGTCAGGGATGACAATTGCTAAACATTTTGGATCTTCTAAAGCTGGCCTGGACTGCTGCATGTGTCTCACAGTACTGAGTCCACTGATGATCCTCACGTGGCCTGGCTGCAGGTTTGGCTGTTCCCAGGATCTGCCTGGCATGCTTCCTGAGCACAAGGTCTCTTTGTCTCCTCTGCACAGAGACAAGAGCCTGTGGCTCAGCTGCGGTTGGCTGTGGAACTAGCACTATCCCGTGGCTTGAGGATGAGGCTGTGAGGGCAACCTGGCTTGCACATCACCTCTCCAAATACAGCAGGCAGTTTAAACAACAGAAGGGAGCAGCAATGAAGCTGTTTTGGACAGCACTGAAAAATATATGGCCATAAGACTATAGCAGTGTTGACATCTCTTTTGCTTTTCCTGCTTGAGAGGGCTCCATCTCCTTGGCTCCTGTGTGTTCAACTGGTTGTAGTACAAATGGTGCCCAAGAAAGATTAGTGATCGTTTTATTTGGCTTTTGTTCTCCCTGTCAAGTGGCATGTGCAGGACATGACAAGGCACCTGTCAGCCCATGGTAGGATTTTCCTTCTACTGCCCTGCTGTGTGCACAGGTCCTTTCATGCTCTCTGTCAGTCCAGTTCCTCTGTCTTTTGTAGGAGTGGCGAGAGAGCTGTACAACGTTTTTTTAATTTTTTTTTTAACCGTGTGCTACAAGCTATACCAAGATCTGTGGGCAAAAAGGAGGACTGGATTAAATGAAAACCTGACTGCTTTTTCTTGCAGACAAACAACACTAGTCGTCTATATCATGTCTCTAGTGGGAATGATAATCTACACCTTCACTCTGAGCCTAGGCCATCTCTGGGTGGTCTTTGTGACTGCTGGCACGCTGGGGTAAGTTCATGTGCAGGCTGCTTTCCTCGACATGCTAGGGGATGAGCAGGGAGGCTCATCCAGAGGATGGTGTGGGAGGGACTGGGGAGAGACATAGCATGTGCATGGCTCCTGCATGGTTTAAGGAAAAAATTATCTGCTCTTCCCATCTCTCACTTGTATGTGTTTCATTAGAGTCAGGGACGTTATTGTGACCCTGCTCAGCTGCATTTGCCTTAATTGTTCCAGGCAATCAAGTGGAAACATTTGGAAAGCCAGGGATACTGCAGCCCAATAGATGACCAATGGACAAGAATGAAAAGCATGTCTGCCTAAGTGGCTGTTTGACCGTGCTGGGGGTGATGCCCCTTAGAGCTATGGGCCATGGTCTGCCTCTTCAGTCTTCCTTCTGACAGTTGCTGAGTCTTCCTTTCTGTGTGCTTCTTTACAGTTTTTTCATGACAGGATACCTTCCCCTGGGCTTTGAGTTTGCTGCAGAGTTGACATACCCAGAATCAGAAGGAACATCATCAGGGCTCCTTAATGTCTCAGCACAGGTAAGTGCGCTGTTTTCACTTTGCTTGCCTCTTTTTAGGCAGAGATTAAATTGTAGTTCCAAGCCTTGACTTCTATTTCTTGTCCATTATTAGTGTAATGTACTGTAGAGCTAAGCACCCTGAGACCTGGCTTTTTGATTTGTGTTCCCCATAGCATTTCTCTAGTGACAAACAGAAACATTCTGTTTCTGTTTAAGAAAATCCATCAGGATGCCAGTCGCCCTTGCCTTTTCCAACATTGGCTCTTCTCCAGTGAGAGATGGGATTCCAGCCTTAAAGGTCATTTGTCATCCCATCAGCTGCAAGGAGGTGCCTCTGGATGTGTTTATAACCAAACTTTAGCCTCACTAGGGCAACTGTTTGGCTGGCCTGGATGCTCTGATACTTTGGTAAAGCTGGGAAGCTGTTTGGGCTGCTTTATAATAGGAGTACAGCTGGACACTGGCTTTGTTTGTTTGTAGATTTTTGGTATTGTTTTCACCATTGGCCAAGGGCAAATCATGGATCGCTTTGGAACGAAGGCAGGAAACCTCTTTCTTTGTTCCTTCCTGTTCCTGGGGACCGTTATGACAGGTAATTAAAATTTTCAGTGTTCTTCTGCTCTGACTTTTCCCCTTTAGCTTGGCATATGGTTGAAGGGCTTTTGTGTGCTGTGGTGTCTGCAGGAAAGGCCAGAACCCACACAGCAGTCTTGTAGCAATGCTGTTGTTCTTCTTTAAGCATCTGATCTGTGTTAAAAAGAAGATCCAAGGCTTCTTGCTCTGGCTGCTGGTTGAGTTTCAAGGTTGCACCTCCTGCATGCTGCAATAAGGAATCTGTATCCTGCTTGTTTCAGAAGTGCTCTGAGCCTCATCCAGGACAATGGTTTCCCTTGCTCACCATAACATAACGGAAGAGGCTTCTGCTACTCCTTTGAATCCTGGGGAAATTGATTTGGTCTCTGCATGGTGACTTAACTGCCTTCACATCTCTCTTCCTCCCTCTGTTCCAGCATTCATTAAGGCTGATCTTCGAAGACAACAGGCCAATTTGGAAAATGAACACACAGTGAGTAAACCCCCCTTCAACCCCTGCTGTGTCCCTGTTACTAGCTCAGGACAACACGCAACCTCTCTCCTTTCTAGCAAAGGGTCTGGCTTGTGGGGAAGCTCCTTGTTGGCATTTTCAGACAGGTGGATGTAATTCCAGCACATCCAGCTGCTGAGGCCTGTGTTTGCTCACTGTTAATTTCACGCAGAATCTATAGGCTCTGGTCCTCTGGGAGTCTGCAGGGCTTCACACATTTTTGTATTGGCTAGAACCAGAAGTGCTGTGCTCACTTCTCTCCACTGAAAATGTGTTCAGCCCTTCAGTGCTTTGCCCTTTTTTAGAGCTGATTAACTATTATTCTAGGCCCCTAGGGTTATTCTTCTTATTCTGCCATCAGCTGCCAAGTGGGGTTCAGTATATGTGACTGGAGGAAGCTGGGTTACAAAGCCCAAATGAGGGCTTGAGCAGCCTGGCTCCTTACACTTTGCAGAGTGCTGAGGACAAGGCTACTAGTTCATATCTCCTCACCAGAACTTGGGGTATGATGTCCCTGTGACATGCTGTGCAATAAATGCAGCTGTTTGCATGTGGGAGGGGGCCTCTAGTGAACTAATTGCACACATACTTTTAGAAGCTCTTTCTGCAGGGAAAGGGAGAGGACTGGTTGTTAGAGGCTATTTTCCTTAATCCTCCGGGCTCCTCTTCTACGACGTTATCAGAGATATCCACTCAATGTTCAGGAAGCCATCAGTGACCATGACTAGCAAAGTGTGTAAATCTCAGTTCTCTGCCAGCTGGAGTCAGCTCTATTCAGAAGACAGTGCTGCCCTCGTCCAGAGAATCTAACCAGTCCAGTCTGGAGAAAGACCAGAAGGTCCAAGAAGCAGGTCTTCTCTGACCAGCTGCTCAGGAAGGTGGATTTTCAATTACAAAATACATGCTTTTTGATTTTTATTTTGGTTTTATTTTTACTGAACTATCTGAGCACAAATGCAGAGGGTAGGGTGTATTAGGGAGGGTCCGAGAAATACAGACACGTGATAAACCAGACACCATAAGAACTCAATAAAGCAAGTATTTATTACCAAGAGGTGGCCAACAAAATGAACAAAGCCAAAAGGGAGGAAGGAGGAGAGAAATAAGCCCCCAGCACGACTTTCTCAGTTACCCAGCTGTTGCCTATAAAGTTATCTTACCGACCTAGCATGCCTATAATGACCCATAGCAGAAGCTGCATCCTTGGGGAGTCAGTAAGTTCACAAAACTGGCAGGCGTCCCCGCCAAAGGCAACGTTGTCCTTGGTGTGAAGTTAGCTCCCATAAAGAAAGCGCTATCTGCTTTTTATACAGTTAATTGAGTGGCCACAACCTCCTAGGTGTGGCCAGCACCGCCCAGCCAGAGGCCTTCAGTCCCACCTCCCAGTTATGTAAGTGCATCTCTTCTGCGCACGCGTGAGAACTTCGGAAATCCCCTGACGCACGCGCAGTATGTTTTGGGGGGTCTTTCTTAATTGAGTCTGGGGGGGGGGCCTGCCTCATCTTCTTCCCCACTTTCTCCTCCAAGTGCCCTTGGAGGACAACTAGCCAATCACAGAATGCCAATTAAAACAGTTTATACAAGAAGCTCTCTTCAAGGACAACTTTCCCGTTTATCAGTGCTTGTTTTCCCATAACTTGGCAGGGAAAGAGCAAAGCTTTCACAGGTGGCAGGGTCAAACACAGACCAAAAGTATCAGCATAAATTCACCCTGGTACAGTAGGGTAAGGGAGTTGATGCTACCTTGAGTAGTTCTTGTACCTATAATTCTAGACTAGTTGGATGAAAAAAGGCTATACAACTTATCCAATTTGGATATAGGAGTCCCCTCCCCCCCATTGCAATAACTTAAACATTATTTCTTCTTTTTTTTTCTGCTCTGAGGCTTACAACTTTGGTTGATTTTAGCAGTGGTGAGCATCATGGTCTACAGGACCAAGCTGGAAGACAACTGCTCTCCCAGTGAATGCAGCTAACTGGAACACACTTAGCTAAGTTGAGCGAGAGTAAAGACCAGTCTGTTTTGATACACACCCAATTGCTTGTATCCTTCCATTAACTGTTCTGAAGTCAAAGGCAGAAGATGAATTGTAAGGCCAAACCATCCTCTGCAAGCCCTAAGGCAGCAGGGCTGTAATGAGAGGTGCTGGTGGCATAGTGAATTAATTCATAACATGTATGTGGAAGGCCCAGGAAAGGACCCAAGGTCATTTGGCAGTGAAGGTGATGCCTACTAGTATTAAGGTCCTTTCTATTTGTCAGACATTTCTCTCACCAGACAAATTGTACATTTTTGCTTAAGCCATTTTTAGTATAAATCTTTTCAGTCTAAATACTATTGTAAGAGCTTGCTGCTGGAGGGGGGAGAGCATTGAAACCAGAGCAAAGGTGGCACAGGTGTCATTTTTATAATCCTAAAAGCCTCCAGAACTGAGAGTAGAGAGAACCAGAGGGATGTGTGTGAGGTAACAGGTCTCAGTCAGTCAAGACTCCTTCCCCCGAGAGTCATGCTTTGAGGAAGTCATGATGGACACCCTCCACAGTCCCAAATGTGGCCTCCACATGGCTGAGCACACCTGGCTACTTCTCAAGCTTAACAACCAACCACAAGTGCTCAACCAACTGAAGGTAGGCTGAATCTGGTGTTTGGCACTTAAATGGATGGCTCAGCCAGGGATCAGCCAGCTGGGCTTTGGTATTGTGTGCTGCTTTTGTGGAGAGTTCTGATGGAGTAAGGTATTGGAGCTTTTCTATGTGGCACAGCTGCCTTACACATGCTTGGGTGATTTTACTGGTTTTTTCCTTTACCTGTTTCTCTTTCTTATTTTGGCCCACTTTCATTTCCTTCCCTACTTCCCTCCATATTTTCAGGGATGGTGACTTGTGACTGTTGTTACAGAGACTCCAAGGCAGCAATCAGATCATGGATTATGGGACTGTAGCTTGTAACTGTAACCCATCAATTCCCACTCCTGCTCACTAGCTTATACACCAAGGTAGGAGAATTGCACTAATCTACTTCTCTGAACACTCACGGGGTGGCACAGGCACCAAGCCAATGGCACTTCTGGGGTGACAGCAATGGCCATAGAGTATCAAGAATCTTTCTGGCCTTCTCAGGTACTCATCTGAGAGGAAAGACAAGACAGCATCCAAGGACATAGTGCAGATCCCACCAGACTCATGTCAGATAGAGTCATAGAGATTCAAATAGGTGCAGCGAGGCAAAGCCTGGTGCTGGATTAAATGGAGAACTGAATTATCAGTCAGTTCTTGGGGAGAGGAGGTGCAGACATTGGCAGACTCTTCTTTGACATTACTTTTACAGTCCAGTTTCTTGGCTGGAGGTGATATAAGGAACCCTGTAGAGAGTGGGCTTTGATCACAGCCAAGGTGCATGGCCAACTTCAAGAAGGAAGTTTAAAAACATCTAGCAATAAGAGAGTCATTGGGTTCATGCCATTTGGTATAAGAATTCCTGAAAATTTTAAAGCTCTGTGCTTGCTGGTCTGTGAATCTCAGTGGCACTTGTCATTTGCTCAGCTCTTGCTTGGTGTGGTATGCTTTATTACTCACTGTCCCCTGCTTCACATGGCTGGCTGGTCTGCCAAGTTAACCTTGCTACCCTTTGCTTTTCAAGGTGTTTGTAGAGTGTGTTTCCCTTAGTGCCACAGCCAACAGGACTAACAGGCAAAACCAGAGTGAATCCATTGGGAAATCCAGACTTAATCCTGCTATAAGACTAAGGGATGTGCTACAGGGACCATGAAGCTGCTATGCTTTGATGGAAGTGTGAGTAAGAGTCCCATGGGCAGGGAAAGACTTTTCTCCAAGCTGAGTGCTTCTGAAGTTGTCTCCATGCTGCAGTCTGGCAGTTTTAGCAGGGTGCATGTGTGGTATTGATTTGGGACCAAGTAGTTGAGGAGCTGTTAGCTGCATGAGCTGGGCAAACCCACTTGGGGTATACTGGAACTTTTTCGATGGCTGAAGTTTATGTCATCGCCTTTGTCAGCAGACCTAGCTTGGTGCAGTTACCAGTGTTACCACTGACATCTCAGCTGCAAAACAGACACTGCAAGCAAAGCTCAAGTATTAGGCTCAGGTATTGATGCCCTGTGTCAAAACTGCTTCCATAAAGACTGGTCATCTTCATAGGAGACTCCCTTCTGAACAGAACAGAAGGCCCAGTATGCAGATTGGACCTACTTCTTAGGGAAGTCTGCTGCTTTCCTGGGGCCAGGGTTAAAGATGTGAAGAGAAAGCTTCCTCCCCTGGTACAACCCTCAGATTATTATCCATTATTGATTTTTCAATAATGCTGTGCAGCAATGAGGTCCCAACAAGTCCCAAGGAAAGGCAGATCCTGCTTGACTAACCTGATCTCCTTCTATGACAGGGCGACCCACTTAGTGGATGAGGGAAAGGCTGTGGATGTAGTCTACCTGGATTTAGTAAAGGCTTTGACACAGCATTTTCCTGGAGAAACTAGCTGCTCATGGCTTGGGTTGGTACAATGTTTTCTGGGTAGAAATCTGACCAGATGGCCGAGCCCAAAGAGTGGTGGTGAATGGAATTGCATTCAGCTGGCACCCAGTCACTAGTGGTGTTCCCCAAGGCTCAGTACTGGGACCAGCCCTTTTTAATATCTCTATCAATGAACTGGACAAGGAGATCAAGTGCACCCTCAGTTTGCAGACAACACCAAGCTGGGCAGGAGCATTGATCTTCTGGAAGGTAGGAAGGCTCTGCGGAGGGATCTGGACAGGCTGGATCCACGTGCTGAGGTCAACTGTATGAGATTCAACAAGATAAAGTGCAGAATCCTGCACTTGGGTCACAACCTTATGCAGTGCTACAGGCTTGGAGAAGAGTGGCTGGAAAGTTGCCTGTTGGAAAAGGACCTGGGGCTGTTGGTTGACCGCTGCTGAACATGAGCCAGCAGTGTACCCAGGTGGCCAAGAAAGCCAGCGGCATTCAGGCTTGTGTCAGAAATAGTGTGGCCAGCAGGACTAGGGAAGGGATCATCCCCCTGTACTCAGTGAAGCTGCACCTCTTGTACTGTGTTCAGACAAGACAGACTGAGGTGCTGGAGCATGTCCAGAGAAGGGCAATGAAGCTGGTGAAGGGTCAGGAGTACAAGTCTTATGAGGAGCAGCTCAGGGAGCTGCGGGTGTTTAGCCTGGAGAAAAGGAGGCTCAAGGGAGACCTTTTTGCACTCTACAACTACATGAAAGGAGGTTGTAGCAAGGTGGGGGTTGGTCTCTTCTCCCAACTAACAGGTGACAGAACAAGAGGAAACATCAATTTGCTCCATGGGAAGTTTAGATTGGATATTAGGAAAAATTTCTGCACTGAAAAAGTTGTCAAGCACTGGAACAGGCTGCCCAGGGAAGAGGTTGCATCACCATCCCTGGGGGTATTCATGAGACATGTAGATTTGGCACTTAGGGGGCATGGTTTAGTGGTGGATTTGGCAGTGCTGGGTTAATAGTTGAACTGGGTCATCTTAAGGTCTTTTCCAACCTAAACAATTCTGTGAATCTGTGGTTGTTGCAAGGAGAAGAGTGACATTTAAGAGTCAGTTGTGAGCTTGCAGATCATGCAGAGCCGTAGAGTTGTGCAGTCCTCACACTTCCCACTGAAGCACTGTACCATTGGCTGTGTAGCAGTTTGTCTTCTATCAGTGCCCTCACCTGCTAATGGTTATACTTGAACAGATGTTGCAGTTAGTAGATTAAATTAGCCTAATGGCATTGTGTACTCCTTGTCCTCTATTAATAAAACTGTAGTATGGTCCCAACAATCCTCTCACTTTTGTCTACCTCAGTTCCCAGAGCTCCATCTGGGTTAGCTTTTCAATCTCAGGACACTTGGATCAAGTGCCTATTTTACATGATAATTAGACTCTCTGTGTTCTACCTTTGTTGTAAGTGCATCTGAAGCGATTCCAACATTGTGCCTTAAGGTTTTGTAGTAGTGTCAGTTGATTCAGCACACACATTATACTCATTAACATACTGTGTACTGGCTGGGCTCATTTTCTCCTGGTTTCCAGCATCCATGCAAACGTTCTGTCATTGTTTCTTTGCGTTTTGAAAGAGCACTTTTGCTGATCTGCCACAGTTTGTTTTGATTTAGGATTGAATTATTCAAGTCTCAGGCTATGTTTGCTTGGAAATACTTTTTGGTTTCTTTTGATTTAGGATTGAATTGTTCAAGAAAAGTCTTAGGCTATGTTTGTTTGGAAATACTTTTAAGTTTTGAGGGCTTTTAGGAAAGCAGCTATCATTTAGAGTGCAGGATTCTAGAATGGCAGGACTGTCTTTTTGTTCAGACTGGGCTTTGCTAGGCCTCTTTGAACCTTGCAAATTTGATTAATGTGTGTTCAGGGCACTTGAGACTCCTGTCTGCCCATCTAATAGAGTAGTAGATAAATTGATTTTTGTGTGTGTGAGAAACATATTCTTGATAACAGAGGATAAGTCAGGACTCGATCAGTGCCAAATACCTTTTTTGCTGGTTGTATGTTTGCCTGGATGCAAAGATGCATCTGTTGGATTGCAGTGGAATACCCAAAAGCATGTTGCTTTTCCTTCCAAAGCCAGCGTGATTTAGAGGCTGGCTTAGGCCATTAGGACAAGCATCCACCCTCAGTAGCTTACTGGTTTCCTTCGGAAGCTGTACCATGCTCAGTCTCTAGTGAAATACTGCCAATAAAATCATGCTGGAATTTTGTGTAGCAGGCACAAACAATGTACCCATCCTCTGCTTTCCAAATTTCCCTCCTCCCTTTCATGTTTACTGTGTGGCAAATAGCCTTCTCCAACTGTCCCAAAGCCGTAGGCAGGCCATCTCTGTGCCCTTTTCCACTACTGTGACTGCCAGCTATGAGAGCAGCCTTCCTTTCCTAAGGTGATGGAGCCTTGCAGACTGGCTGATCTCCTAAAAGTCTGCTCCTGTAGCTCCACAGCAGATGAGTGGTGCTCAGACACCAGAGGTTCTTGGGAAGCCTGTTCAGAGTTGCTAAAGTGCTTCCATAGTGCATTCTAGTGGAGTTTCCCAAGTCTAAATGCAGTTTTTGCCTTATTCCTAAGTGTAGCATTACAGCATGCATTCCCCTACCCCTCCTGCTTGTAGAAGTTACCTCTTTGCACTTCCTGGCTTTTGCTTCCCAGCTTTTGCTCCCAGACATGTCTTTGAAGCTTTCCTGATCTCACTCCTCTGCTTTGGGATATTGCTGCTGATCTCTATAAAACCTTTTCACCTGCAGTTTGTGTAAGAGCCTACTCAAAATGAAACTGTTTCATATCTCTTGCTTCCATGCTGCCTAGACTTCTCTTGAACTGCACTGGCAATGTGATCCTCTTTCTCATGTACCTCTGACTTCTGCCTCAGATGTCAGTCTTACCCCACAGTGAGTCAATTCAGAGCCCAGGCTGCAGGAAGCTCCACATTCACCCTTACAAGTCTGCATGCCGTCTTCTGAATTGGTGACAGCTGGGCAGAATCAGAACTCGGAGAGGTATCAGAAATCCCCTGAGAGAAGTCTCGGGTTTAATCCTAACATACCCTAGAAAGGCTCAGAAGAAGAGCTCATCAAGCTCCAGCCAGGAAGGCTGAACTGGAATTGTGAAAGTGGTGGGAATTGGGCAGCAGTCTTTGTTTTCCTTGCTTTTCCTCTGGGAAATAACTACAGTTCCCTCCATCTTAAGGTTTCGAGTAATCAGGCTAGTTCTTCTACAGGATTTATGAAGAAAAAGAACTTGTGTATCTTTGCTCTCTAAGATATGAGTAAGGAACTTAGAAGGCATAACTCTGTGGAATTATCCCAGCCATAAATCCAAGCTGGGGATAGGGAAGAAGCAGGACCGAGGGTGCCAGCCCTGAATGGGCAATGTGAGTGGGGACAAAAAGACTTGAGGATGAGCAAACCAGCAATGTGTCTGGGAGTTGAGGCCTCACACATGCCAGAGGAAGGACACAGAGTAGCTATTTGTTGTGCTGAGCCTCCTGAGGATGCACAGGATGCGGGTTCTCTCTGGTGTTTGCACAGACACTGTGCTGCCTCATGGCATGAAGGAGTTCCCAGTGCCTTCCCTTGCCCAGGGAATTGGCCCTACAAATCACTGCTTTGAGGCTGAGCTTGTGTCACAGTAAAGTGTTGTTGATGAGCTGGCTGTGAGGCTGGTACCACTGGAGGTACCAGCCCCACAGTGTATTAGCAGTGCTTTGAGGACTGCAGCAAGTAGCTTAACGGAAGTGGGACCCTTGCACTGCCCTGCTGCCCCAGGGACCTTTGTTTGGGCAGTCAAAGTGTCTGGAAAAGGAAGAGGGAACCAGTTGCACTCTCTGAGGATGGTGATTCTTCTTTGGGGATTTCTGCACACTAGCAGGGAGTTAAAAATTAGGTAGACTCTGGCCAGCTGATGTCTCTGAAGCCTGAGTCTGGCCACCCAGGATCCTAACCATATTATTTTTTCTGTCTGACTTGCAGAAAGTGTTGCCAGAAGCTTACACTAATCCCATAGTTCTTGAGGAATCAAGGTTGTGAAATGGAGGGGTGGCAGAGCTGGGAGATGCAGCCCTCCTCATTCCCATCTTTGCTACCTGCACCACCCTCCTGTGACATGTGCCCCATGGTCTGGAGGAAGCATCAGGACAGGAGCCCAGTGAGCTGCTTCTGGAGAATGTGAAAGAGCAAAACAAGAAGGGCGTTGCTCTCTTCAGTTATACCTTTGCATCTTGCTATTTTAGAGACTTTGCTGCTTGGTAGAAAAAGTTGGGAAAACCCACTGTGTCCCACCCTATCCCACCATGTATGCTTGGAAAAAGCACATGTGCTGAGAAAAGCCACAGTACCGGGCTGAGCACATGAGGGTGGCACGTTGCTTGTGGCTGTGCCTCCTCTCACAGGCAAACTGGGACATGAAATGCAGAAGCTGGACCACACTTTGTGAGTAGACCTGGAAGAGCTTTCAGCTAGCTCTCGGGAAGAGGGATTGCTCTGCCTCGGTGCCTGTGATCCTCTGTGTTGCACAGGTGATGGTGGAGGCCTCAGTACATCACCAGCAAGTGAAAAGCAGTGCATCAGCCACTGCCAGCTCTGTTTTTATTATTTGGCTTTCCCAGATGAAGCACTCTTAGTCTGGATAAACCTCTGCTCAGAATTCACTGGGGTTGGCCTGATGTCCCTATACATTAGGAGTAATTTAGAGATACCAATATGCCTCCTTCTACCTGGAGGCAAGACTAGTTCTGCAACCTAAGCCTAGCTCATCACTACATTAGTAATAGAAGTGAGTCAAACCACAAGTTTGACTGTCTTCCATCTTAATAAAAAAGTGCCTTTTGCATGTTTCAACAGTACATAGAAACTTTTGTGAAGTGTTATATTAAGAAAACCAGCCAAGGCTGTGTTGCTTTTCACAGCCATAGAGAGGGGTATGATGGGAATCCAGATTTGCTCCAGTGTAGAAGCTGCCCTCTTACCAGCATTTGTGTCTTATAGACACTACCCATCTGTATGCTGCTTATCTTCTAAACATAAATGCAGATCCTTACATCACTTCTCCTTCATTTGCAGCGTCCCACCCCTGGTGGAGACATCAAGTGTCCTTAAATCACAGTTATTCATTTATCATTTGAAGGAGGGGACAAAAACTGCACTGAGGTGGAACAGTTAAAAATACTGCTCTCTGACATACCATTTTTGACAAAATATTTTTTGGGTGAAATTATAGCAGTCTTTGATACATTGCATTTTGATACAGCCTGCCTGAGTTCAAGAAGTGTTTGGACAATGCTATCAGGTGTATGGTGTGATTCTTGGGGTGTCCTGCCCAAGGCCAGGTATTGGACTTGATGATCCTGATAGGTCACTTCCAATTCAGCATATTCTATGATTAAAGTCCTATCTTTGGTAGTTTGGGATTGAGGATGGGGGTTTAGAATGATTTTAAATAGAAGTTTTAATGTAAAAACATTGGAAGTGTACAATGAAACCTGACAGATTCATATTAAATATTTGAAACAATCTACATGTAGCTCTTTTAACAGGCTGAAATGTTTTGCAGAATGGAAAAATCATTTTTCTGTCCAGTGCTACTGCTGTGCTCTTTTCTTCCGTGTTTTTCCTCTCTTTCTTCTGCATGTGAATTGTCTTCCCAGCTAGGAGTTCCTGCTGGTTTCCTACTTTCTGTGTGCAGCCCACTGTTTTGGGCATTATTTTGTCTAGGTCTAAGCAACCTGTTCATGTTTTCTTCATCTTCTACAGTTATAGTTTACTACACAGGTAGTTCAGTCCTTGCTCACAGATGCATACAGTTCAAATTTGCTATCACCAGCATGCTGCGGAAGGGAGAGCTGCAGCAACCCTCTTCACGTGTGTGATGTGAGCAGTCAGACCTGGAACTTTGTGGGAAGGAGTCAGGCAAAGGTAGGTTTGCTGTAAAGAGAGATGATGTATCCTGCAACATACAGTACAAGGCTCTGATCCTCTACCCACTTCTGTGTAGCAGAAAGACAAACATAGCATGCTGCAGTTTTCTGTCATTTATTAGAAATGGCCCCTGATGAACACATACATGCAAGTTACACGGCAGTGCCAGGGGTAGCACCTATTCTCTCTTTCTGGTCCAAAGTGTTCAGTGAATCCTGGATAGCCCTGCACCTTCTCCCTACAGTTACACTGGGAGAGAAGTCCTTAGTGCACTGGGCATGCCTGAGACTTTGCCTGCTATCCGGGGAGTCAGTCATCAAATGCCCCCCACAAGCTTGACACAAACTCCTCTGGGTCTTTGACATCAGTCAGTTAAAATGTTGCCTGGACAAGAAAAAAAGACTTGGTAATGAACAGTGATTGACAGAGTCCAGCACTGATCCACCACTGGGACTGGTGTCCTGGAGAAGTTCAGCTGAGCTTTAGTGGAAGTCTGGCAGTGAAGACCGGGGATGACGCTGACCTATACAGAGCCCTCATCTTCAGTTTTTCTTCTTGTTTTGTGATAGTGCTTCTACCTCCAGGTACTGCAGCCCAATCAGCATCCCCATAATAGAGAAACCTGTGATGGAGATACAGGATGAGTTGTGTAGAAAATGCTGGACAAGAGATGAAGCATTCTCTCCCACCATCCCATCCCTGCCTGTAGCCTGTAGCTGAATGGGGAGTTTTTCTGGGGGGTCATAGCTCCAAGGGGAGTTTGTGGGGGGAGGATACAGAGCAATACTCACTTGCTACCATGAGAGGTGCCATAACTCCAATTGTCAAGGCTGCAGTGTGGTAAATGAAGACTTCGGAGAGGAAGTGAGCAAGGGCCAAAAAGAAGGTAAAGAGCGTGATGTGATAAAGGCTGTTGGAGAGCAGAAGAAAGCAGGTTATCATATCATACTATGGGCATGAGTATGGCTGAGTGGAAAAGAGGCAAACCTGCATGCTGTCCCCTCTGCCCTCACTGTCAGCACAGAGGGCACTTGGTCCCTTGCCTAGTGAGGTGCAAAAACTCCCTGGGCAACAGCAGAGGGGAGAATGGGGCCGAGTGTTCAGTGGTACATTGAAAGTCACAGGCATTATCTGGCCTGAAGGCAGGTGAAGAGAGGAGAGCACGAATAGGGCACTAGTGAAGTGAGAAGTATGTGCAACTTCTCACAAAAAGCACAAAAAGAGGGTGAGAACAGGGTGAGCAGAGAACTGGGGTGACAGGACTTGGCTGACTCCAGGCTGCATCACCCAACATGTCTTCCCACCTGTGCTCTGCTATGCCCTAGGGCCCACAGCTGATGAAAGGGAGCAGGTCCAAGAGATCCAAGATCAAATCCCTCAAAGGAACAACCGACTTAATGGGATTTGGTGTTGCCACCACACCCTAAAAACATATAATTGAATCCCTGCACCTCCCTACCTCAGACAAGCCTAGGCAGTCCAAGGATGTGCTGCCAGGTAAACAGTGACTTCTGCTGTGGAGCTTAGGGAAGCAGTGACAAAAGAGTGTGTTCTAGCAACCTCCAATAAAGGCTTTGCCTAGCACAGACCCTGAGTCAGCCTGCTTGGAAATCCCTCTCAGAAACATTTCTGTTAGCACAGGGAGAAATGGCCTGCCTCCCACCTCAGCACCAGGCTGCACCTCAGGCCTTGTCCTCCGCCCCAGGTAAGAGTGTAGGGAAGAAGGCAGTGGGTTAAGGCCACTGCAAGGGGGCGCCTCAACCTGCCACAGTCTTCAGCTGAGCTGTCATAGTACAAAAAGTATTGAGCATCAGCATTAGCAATTGCTTCATCAACAGAACACAAACACCATCAGAAAACGCTTTCAAGCTGGAGCTCAGAAACTTGTGAGAGTAAGAAGCTCTCAGATCTACCGATTTCTGCCTGAGCTAAGAACAGAAATCAAATGCACAGGCTGTCCCCACAGAGGCAGAAGGGAGCAGCTGCTATCACGCAAATCCTGCACTGGTGTTTGAGGTTTTTCAGGGGAAGGCTGTCAACGCTACAGGACGTTTAGGAATAGCTTTTGATTTCCCACCTCTTCCGCGCTGCCCTCTAAGCTAGCTGCTGAGGCTATGACTAGTAAGCAAACCAATCGGGCGTTTCTTTACTTACGTCCTGTTGCGGATGTCAATGGCGCAAAGGCAGCGGATCACTGACGACAGCAGAGTCCAGACGCCGAAGGTCCGAGCCTGGAGCTCGTTCACTGCGCAAAGGAAGGAAGGAGCACATGGAGACCACGCATGGCCCCACCTGTCGCCCCCAGTCCTGCCGGCGCGGCGCAGTAGGCGGGTCCCGGGCCTGGGACCAGAGAGAGAGCCCAAAGCCCCTGGCTGTAAGCGAGAGGCTGCCAGGCGCCGGGGCGGCCGGGCGCGACCCTTTACGAGGCGGGCTCGCGGTTTACAGCTGTCTCCTGACAGAACGTGAATCGCGATTAAGCTCTGCAGGGTGTTTCCGCCGCGCGATGACGCACCATGACGAATGCAGACTGAGCAGCACGTCGACCGGCTCATCCTCCCGCTGCTCGGACTCGGCCCGTTACCGACGGCGCTCCCGCAGCGCCCCGCGCGCGACACCGCCCGGTGTTGCGATTGGCCGCTGCGCTCCGCTCCACGCGCGCGCCACGTGACGTAAGGGCCACCCCGCCATCGGATCCCTACTCACGAGGAGGCCGGCCCCACCTCTCCCCGGGCCGGCCGCGCCCCATTCGCGGACGAGAGGCGGGGGCGGTGAGCGCGCTGAGCAGGCGGCGGCCTTGGGCGCCTGCGCGCCGGCGGGCCGCCGCCCGTCGGTTGTGTGTAGTAACGGAGGAACGGCCGGGAGGGCCGAGGTCGTTGGGCTGTGCCCGCGTCCGGCTGCGCGGGGGTCAGCGAGCACCAGCGACCTTCTGTTGTCCGCTCGGTTCCCCGCCGTCTTGCTGCTTCTGGTCGCCCGGATGTCGCGTTGCTCAGGCCTGGGCGGTAGGCCGGCCCGCAGCCGCCCCTGACGAGGGACCGCTCCTGTGCCGGTCGCAGCTTACGTGTGTCCGGTGCCCGCGCGACAGCGTGGTCTCGCGCGCGCGTTCCCGTTGGCCGGCCGCCGTGCGCGCGTCTGCGGGCCAGAGCAGGCAGGCAAGCAGGACGGCACAGGACAGGAGTCAGACGGACGCTTCGCGTAGCGCTCTAGCCCTCTCATGGCCGTGGGGAGTAATCTCTTAGACGGTGATGGTTCTTCATTTATTCTCCTGGCTAGGAGGTGATTTACAGCCTGTAATACGCTGGCTGATTGTCCTGCGAGAAGTATGTACTGGTAGGAGGTGGGAGTTATCTCGCTTCTCTTGCTGCCCTGCTCAGCTGTGCATTCGTGCTTTTAATCTTTTTTGCAGGTGACCACTCTTGCAAGAGCCCTTGAACCTCCAGGAAGGAGTTTTGGAGGTTACCGAGACTGGGCTGTATGAAAACTCCCGGAGGAAATGCCAGTTGGGATGGCTAAAGATCTGGAGGAAACTGGCTCATCCTCAGAGGAGGAGGAGGAAGATGCTATAGATGGACTGGAGTAAGTAGGGAAAAACCCTTTGAACTGTTTTATGTGTCTGTGCTTCCTGCAGGATTTGTACTAATCTGAAAAGACAGATGCATTTCTTACCCTCCTACCTATAAAGTGGGAGATGGTTGGTTTGGGCCTCAAGCCTGTGGGCAGGCTGCCTACATTGGTAGCCTAAAAGACCACCATATTCACCAGGGTTGGATGTGCAGTTTTTCCTTGGCTGCTCTGAAGTCTGCAGTTTCATTGATTTCTTTCTGTCATGTTCCTAAGCTGGGAACTTTTTTGATTATGTCCTTTTTTGTTTGGTTTGGTTTGGTTTAGCTTTACTGCTGCAGAGAATAGAAATCTGTACAGTAGAATAATATACAATGTTCTATGTCCTTTCAAAAAACTGTCTTGTGAGAACTCAACTGCTAGAGTTCATGTTACTTACTAGTATAAGTAATTATGTTTGTTCCAGCTTTGTTTAGTAACCTGTTTTATCTTTGCTTATGAAGAAGTTACTCCCTTATTCTTTGCCAGAGTGGCATCCCTTTTCTTTTCAGCTGTAACATGTCCTGTTAGTTTTCTTTTGGGTGCATGTTGTGCCTAAGTGCCCAGTTGCAAACTGCAGCAACTGAAGGCATTTAGAGGAATTTTAGTTCATACCAAGTGGTTGACTTGGACTTGCTAGATCATCATGGATGGAAAGGTCCAGAACTGACTTCACCTAGAAGGTAACTTTAAAAGTGTGTCTGCATCAAGTGGCCAAGGGTTATGCTAGAAATGAATGACCGTCAGTGGGAGGATTGAGCCTTGCTGCAAATCCTCAGGACAGGCTTAATATAAACTCCTGTCCTTTTACCTCAGCTCATTTCCCACTTACATAAGGCTCTGGCTTGTAGTGTAAAATCTGGAAGCTTCTTGGGTCCCTTCCAGTCTTAACAGCTAATTACACCCTAGTAGTAGGTTTTGGGGTTTTTTAAACTATATTTTAGAGGTAGTGGAAGCACATGGGAGTGCTATGAAGTTCATTTGTCTGGGTGATAATGGTAATAACTTGGTTAAGAGACCAAGGCTACATTTAAGAGCCCTTGTTCTAGCTCTAGGAAGAGGTGGGATGGAGATGCACCACCACCAGAATACTGCCCTTTTATCTCTGTTCATGTGTTTTAAGTGTTGGAAGTGTTTTGTCTTCTCTGGTTTCTCCAAACCTTTGGCAGACAATGGTCTTGCACATTCTTTAGACAAATGCTTCTGTGTATCTCTGCCAGTCTTTGTATTTCTTCTTGTTAGTGTAGATAAAGATGTCTCTCCAACTCCTCAGTCTCTGTTTTTTGTTAACTTTTTCTTAATCTCCTTGCGCAGTGAGTAATAAGCAACCTGTTTTTGCTTATGGAGGTTGCCAGGTTTCCTTTGGGTGATCTTAGAATTTCATGTGACAGGTCTTAAATTTCTTTGATGTGTTCTTAATTCCTCTGAGGAGACGATAGTTCCCAATGCTGTCTTATTTGTTTTGCACAGAACTGATGACCATATCCCAGAGCCTGTGGCTTGAGTGGCGGACTGGGGACATTGTTCTTGAATTCTGGACTTGCGTTCCACTGTATCTGACAGGAATTAAAAAGGAAGAACACACAAGTTTATCCATTGTGTTGAGCCAAGCTTGTTCTAGTCTCTCAAACTCTGCATTAGTGCCTTTCTGTGCACTTCAGAGTCCAGGATTACAACCAGGCAGACCGCACTGATTTGCAGTTCTGAAATTGGAGGCTGAAACCTGCATTGCAAGGGCTGATTGTGTGGATACCAGCAGTTGTGGTTTATCCTGAATTATAGATGCTGTTTTCAGGCTATACATTCAGAGAACTGTAGCTGTGAAAGCTCATGAGATTTTTCCCAAATTGTACTCAGTAAAATAAATAAGAATTAAACAGAACTCAGGCTGGCAAGAACAACCCAAAAAGAGGGTGATCTGGAAGATTCCCTTTATAGCTGAGTACCAAGGATGCTGTATTGAGTTTACGTGGCCAGGTTAGCAGGGGAGCTACAGGGTGGCTTCTGTGGGAAGCTGCCGGAAGCTTCTCCCATGTCTGACAGAGCCAATGCCAGCCAGCTCCAAGATGGATCTGGTGCTGGCCAAGGCTGAGCCCATCAGTGATGGTAATAGTGCCTCTGTGATAACAGAGAAAAAGTTATTGTGCAGAGGTAATTGTGCTCAGAGAAGAGTGAGAATATGTGAGAGGAATGGCTCTGCAGACACCAAAGTCAGTGAAGAAAGAGGGGAACAGGTGCTTCAGACACTGGAGCAGAGATTTCCCTGCCTGTGGTGAAGACCACAGTGTGGCGGGCTGTCCTTGGAGGAGACCCAGCCAGAGCAGGTGGATGCCCAAAAGAAAGTTGTGACCCTGTGGAAGGCCTGTGCTGGAATAGGCTCCTGGGAGGGACTTGTGGACTCATGGAGAGAGGAGCCTATGCTGGAGCAGGTTTACTGGCAGGACTTGTGACCCCATGCAACCCTGTGCTGGAGCAGCCTGTTTTTGAAGGACTGCACCTTGTGGAAAGGGATCTATGCTGGAGCAGTTCATGAAGAACTGTAGCCTATGGGAAGGACTCACACTGCAGAAGTTTGTGGAGGACTACCTCCCATGGGAGGGACCCCATGTTGGAGCAGGGTATGGACTCCTCTCCCTGAGCAGCGGCAGAAACAACGTGTGATGAACTGACCGTAATCCCCATTCACTGTCTCCCTTTGCTGCTGTGGGGAAGGAAGTAGAGAACTGTGAATGAAGTTTAGCCTGGGAAGGGAGGAGGGTGGTGAGGAAGGTGTTTTTAAGATTTGTTTTACTTCTCATTATCCTGCTCTGATTTTGATTGGTAGTAAGTTCAGCTAATTTCCTCAGATTGAGTCTGTTTTGCCTATGATGGTAATTGGTGAGTGATCTCTCCCTGCCCTTCTCTCTACTCATGAGCCTGTCATATTTTTTCCTCACCTGCCCAGTTGCAGAGGGGAGTGATAGAGTGGCTTTGGTGGGTACCTGGTATCCAGCTAGGGTGGGACCTGGAACCACCACAGATGCCTAGTGTGTGTGTGTGTATGCAAGTCAGCACAGGCAGGGCTTGGGAGCAACCATGAAATCATAGCCAAAATGCAGAGAGTAAATTTATTTTCGTTACCTTGCTAACTGTGGGATCCCCAAAGCAGCACCTGGGCAGAGGCATGCGAGCAGGGATACAGGCACTGTGGAGCTTGGTCCTTGCTAGAGAGTCACTTGAAGCTGCTGTTCACACCTATTTTTCAGGGATTCTTGCAGATGTAGCTTACCACTATGCTTTGACCTTTCCCACAACAGGACAGGAATTTCAGGCATGTTCAGTAGGGTGCCTCAGAGTCTATTAGATCCTGTGTTATCTGACCACAGATGTCCTACTTGTCAAACACACGAGGATAGACAACAATTAGAATGTTACATGTATTTTTCCACATCCAAGCTGCAAGTCACTTAGCTGTGTTTACAATCCTCCTCACCATCCTTCTGTTGCCATGGTGTGTTTGCTTGTGTCCTGCCCAAAGGCTAGGTAGGCAAACATGGGCAAGTACCGAGAATTGCTGTGTCCTCATTGTAAGTAGCTGTTTGCGTGTATGAGGCTCAGCAGTTGCTTATACTGACTGTCTTGTCATTTCAGGGATCATCCGTGTATCAAGTGGACCGGTGGTGGCTGCAGGCGGATCCCTGTCTTGGTATTTCATGCTGAAGCCATTCTGACCAAGGACAGCTACCTCCGCCTCATTGGAGGTGGGTGTTACTTTGTGGCAGGTTTTGGCCTGAAGGCATGAGGTGAAAGTCTCTTCTCTTTGTGGTGTGGAAGAGGACAGAGGACGTGGTAGGAAGGAAATTGCAATCCTCTCTTGTCTCTGAGGACTGAGATGTTCAGAAATGCTTGATTCACTGGTGAATGTGTATGATGTTTTTGGATTGTGACAAGTGTCTGTGTTTGTCCCTCCATTGGT